GCCCTACCCAGCCAGGTGCCTGCTATAAGTCAGGCCTCCCAAATGTTCCTGTCCTACCCCCGATCCTGCCCACGCCGGGCTCAGGGGCTGGTGTCCCTCAGGGCCACGGGGAGGGAGGTGTTTGACTGGATCCTGGACCAGGGCTACTACTCGGAGCGAGACACGAGCAACGTGGTGCGGCAGGTCTTGGAGGCCGTGGCCTACTTGCACTCACTCAGGATTGTCCACAGGAACCTCAAGGTAAGGCCAGGGCCAGGGAGACTCGATCGTTTGACAGCTGGGCTGGGGCTGGAGTGAGTGCCACATGGGGCTCTTGGTCCAGCAGCTTCCGAGGCCCTCATGATAACGTCTGCCTGCCCTTCTACCCTTCTCTCCTGGACAGCTGGAAAACCTAGTGTACTACAACAGGCTGAAGAACTCAAAGATTGTCATCAGTGACTTCCACCTGGCTAAGCTAGAAAATGGCCTCATCAAGGAGCCCTGTGGGACCCCGGAGTATCTGGGTAAGGAGGGATGGGACGGGATGGTGGATGGACGGGCACCAGGGAGAGACTTTGGGGTAGGGACAAGTCTCTTTCCCAGAAGGTGGGTAATGGGTGGTATGATATCTGGCTAAACTTGATACTGACCTGCAGATGGACACTTTTTTCTTTAGCACCGGAAGTGGTAGGACGGCAACGGTATGGACGCCCCGTGGACTGCTGGGCCATCGGTGTCATCATGTACATCCTGTGAGTGAAACGGCACGTAATTGGGCTTGCAGCCAGGTGGGCTGCACAGCAGTGTCTGTGGCCATCCTAGGTGACCCTGTTCCATGCAGCCTTTCAGGCAACCCGCCCTTCTACGAGGAGGTAGAAGAAGATGACTATGAGAACCATGATAAGAATCTCTTCCGCAAGATCCTGGCTGGTGACTATGAGTTTGACTCTCCATACTGGGATGATATTTCTCAGGCAGGTGAGGAGACACCCAGCATGCGGGCAGAGTAGCGGGCGGTAGGGAGGGAGGCGCTGCTCTCAGCTTCTGCTGGGTTCTACTCCTGCTCCCCAGCCCATTCATCACATCTAGACAATGAGATGGGGCGCCCATGCCTAGCCCATCCCTGGCTTTGTCCCCAGCCAAAGACCTGGTCACAAGGCTGATGGAGGTGGAGCAAGACCAGCGGATCACTGCAGAAGAGGCCATCTCCCATGAATGGTGAGCAGGGCCCTGTGGAGGATGGAAGTTAAGGCCAAGTTTCTGTTGTTCTCTGAACTTTTTACACCACAAGTCCTTATCCTTGAGGTCTTGAGGGTGATGGGGGACTTTCTAGATCTCTGACCAAGCCAGAGGCTCTGCCTGGTGGTCCTAGATCACACAGGGAAGGGCTGTGGAGTCTCCGTGAAGGCACAGAGCATCCTATAAGAGGCACTTGCCTCCTTTCTAGGATTTCTGGTAATGCCGCATCTGATAAGAACATCAAGGATGGAGTCTGTGCCCAGATTGAAAAGAACTTCGCCAGAGCCAAGTGGAAGGTAGGGTTTGGCTCGCTTTTTCTTGGCCCAGCTCCAAGTGCTGCTTCTTGCACCCACAGTTTCCTGCCGCCACTGCACCTCTTCAGCTGAACACAAATTTTTCTCAGGCTATCATATGTGGCTGTAGCTCCTGCTATTATCTTAAGCTGAAGTACTGAGCATCTGGGTGGCCAGAGGTGTCTGGGGTACTCTGGAAGGGGTGGGTTAGCCATTTTGAAGGAGTGGATCCAGCAAGCCTCACCACGAGCCTTTCTTCACTGTCCTTCTTTCAGAAGGCTGTCCGAGTGACCACTCTAATGAAACGGCTCCGGGCACCAGAGCAGTCTGGCACAGCTGCAGCCCAGTCTGCTTCAGACACTGCCACTCCTGGGGCTGCTGGTGGGGCCATTGCTGCAGCTGCCAGTGGAGCTGCCCCGGCCTCTGGGGGCGGTGCTACTGCAGCCACAGAGCGTGAAGCTGGGTGTGCTGCCAAGAGTGATAATATAGCCTCTGCAGATCGTAGTGCTACCCCAGCCACAGATGGCAGTGCAACTCCAGCCACAGATGGCAGTGTCACCCCAGCCACTGATGGGAGCATCACTCCAGCCACTGATGGGAGTGTCACTCCAGCCACTGACAGGAGTGCTACACCAGCTACTGATGGCAGAGCTACACCAGCTACAGAAGAGAGCGCAGTGCCCACCACCCAAAGCAGTGCCATGCCAGCTGCAAAGGCAGCTGCCACCCCTGAGCCGGCTGTGGCCCAGCCGGACAGCACAGCCCTAGAGGGTGCCACAGGCCAGGCTCCTCCCTCTAGTAAAGGAGAAGAGGCTACTGGCTGTGCCCAGGAGTCTCAGGGGGAGAAGATGAGCTGAATGGGCAGCCCAGTGGGGGTTTTGAGGGATGGAAAGGAGGGTGGGAGTGTGGATGAGGGGCTTCTCATTGTATATAGAGTCACTGGCATGATGCCCTAGCTCCCCCCAAGCTCCCTCATCCCAGTGGGGCATGCCTGGGGGCCATGGGAGAGCAGTCTTGTCTCCTGTGTGGATGTGTGTGAGTGGTGGGTAGGCCAGAGGCAGGGCCAGCCCCAGCCCCTGCATGGATTCCTTGTGGCTTTTCTGTCTTTCGCTCGCTTCACCACTTTCTGTTCCTTGTGGGATACTGCTCTAGGGATACTCAGGGGGTCCTTGCTCTCCTTCTCCTTCCCTTCCTGCCTCATCATTTCCCCAGGCAGGCCCTGCAAGTCTCACACTTCCCCTGGCCCTAAATTGGGTGGCCTTGCCCTGAGAGCTGGTCCTCCAGCGAGGCCCTATCAGCAGTGTTAGGCTCCTGCACATGAAGGTGTGTACCTGTGGTGTGTGGGTTGCTCTAGGAGTAGATGCTGGCTGCTAGAGAGGATGCAGAATCTAGGGCAGTGTGCTTTAAGTCAAGTCTGGTCACATGATTGGGGGCACTGCACATTAGCTGTGGGGATCCTCAGAAGTGGGGGAGAGAATTGATAGAAGAGTAGAAGCTTCCGTCTTTTCCCATGGGTAGGCCTTCTGAAGATCCTTGTGTTGTTTCTTGCCCTCCCTAGTCCTGTAGTGGGTTACTCTGTATCCTGGTTCTTATGAAACTCTAAAGAAAAGGAGAAACAATTAGGATGTAGCAGTGGGACCTAGGAGAACAGAGTACAGGACCAGTACCAGGGCCCCAACCTGTCTGGGTCTTTATTCTGAGATAGATAGGGAGGGCTGGTGTTCCCATGGTCTTCCTAGATGCCACTACCACAGGAAGAGATCTTACCCATGGCCACCTCTTTCAGGCTCAGGCCATAAATCCTCTGGCCCTAAATACTCCTCCCAGGGAGGCATGGCAGTACCTCATAGGCTGCTTGAGAGTTTGCTTTTTTACAGTGGCAGATTTTCTGCTCTTCAGCAACATGGAGAGGATTTTCCTCTATTTCTGCTATCACAGGCTGAGGTATCGCTCAGCCATGTTAAGTTGCTCTTCTGGGATGAGGAAGTAGAATAAGATTCCCAGTCTCTGGAAGGATGCTCTTGGCAGGTGCCCTTGGTCCGACCCTGTCACAGCCTGAAAAGGCAGCCACACGCTGGTCCTTGCCCTAGCTCGGCACTCCATGGTGGTCCTGCCCTTCTCCCTGCATGCCTGTGGGTCTGCTCTGGTATGTGAAGGTTGGTGGGCTAACTGTGTGCCTGCTGAACCTGGCAAATAAACGTCACCCTGCAAAGCCTCTGGCCACCCTCTTGCCTTTGCTTCCTCTGTCCTATTGGGGAGGAACCCATGGAAGGCAGTGGGGGAGGAGAGGCTGATGCTCAGTGCATTGCTTAGGGTGAGAGTGAAGGTCACCTTCTCCAGTATGTACCTGGATGATGTTGATGGGGGACCCTCTGGACTCTAGGAAACCATGTGAGTGATGTGCTTCAGCCAAGAACTATCCCCTGAGCTGAGCACTTGAAGGACTGACGATTTTCCAGCTTTTGTTGACTTTGTCTTAACTTGGACATAGAGATGGAATTGACTCAGAGCCAACCACTACAGGGAGAGACCTCGCTCATGGCCACAGTGGGTCTCTTTGGGCTGGGGAGAGGCTAGGATTGCACAAAAGTTCTGTGCTGTATGTTGATGCCTGCTTCCTGTGAATACCTGTGCTTTCCACTTAGACCAAAAAGATTTCACTGTCTTCCCCAGCTGGAGCAGATCTGCTTTAAATATGGAGTCCTGTATGTTTCTTCTGGGGGAGTAATACTAACTATATCATAAAAATCCCTAAGGAGACTTGCTTCAGCTCAGATGGGCTTTGGTGAACTCACCTGGGTTGCCTTCTCAGGGAGATCCTTAAATTATCTGATGTGGGAATAATAAAGAGGGTTTGTTATTTCCTGGTCTTCGAAGCATCTATGCCTCCAAAATCAGTTTCCTACAGCCCTGGGCACGAGGAACCCTGGGAGGTAAGAGCTAAATTACTGGCCCTAGTATCCACCTAATTTCAAGAATTATTAGATCATATCTGAATAAAGCCAAGGCTAGTGTGGTGTTTTGATGGGTTGGGACTTAATGTGTTCATCTAAGACCATAACAGAAGGCTGAGAAAGTGGGGGGTCTTCTTTTGGTCTGGGAACTGTGGGCTGCCAGCACACGTCTACCCCTTTCCATAGCCATGGGACAATTATCCCATTTCCTTGGGGTGTCAGTCTGTATGATTGTCCCGAAGTGCAGCGACAAGAGGTATGGTTCGCTTCGCACCACCTCTAGTTTGACACAATCATCAGTTTAGCAGGGTTAGGGCTCAGCCTGTAGCGGCGTCACTGTTTTCCGCCACAGTCCATCACAGGGCACCACTGGCAGAAACGGATCCTGGGTGATTCCGAAGAGCTACGGTGCTAAGTCCCAGGATTCCGCACGGCTGGCGGGCCGCTTAGCCCCGCGGATCCAGTGCCCCGCCCCGCCCCGAAGTTTGCCCAATCAGAGTGAAGTGTTCAGCCGTGGTTTGTTATGACTTCCGGCTCAGTACCGGAAGTCGTGCGGTGGAGCGAAAATTTGAAGGCAGAGGAGTCGCGGAGCTGTGGCTACCACGGGATCTGTTGCCGTTTCCGAGTCTGTCCTGGCCGCTTGAGTCGAGCCATCATGCCTATCCGCGCTCTGTGCACTATATGCTCCGACTTCTTCGATCACTCTCGCGACGTGGCTGCCATCCACTGTGGCCACACTTTTCACCTGCAGTGGTGAGTGACAGCGGTGCAGGGCCCTTACGCGTGTCCTAGAGCCACTCAGAGGCTGCGGGGTGTCGGACCTAGAGGCAAATCATCCTCGGAACTCAGGCAGGTGTTGACATTAGAGGACCCTCGCGGCAGCTTGCCAGCCTGGGCCCAAGGGACCAGGTGGAAAGAGTTAGGTGCCTCTATATTAACTTGTGCAAAGAAATGTGGCTTTAAAACTATTAGTCTGAACTTCTGCCGCATTAACGAGCCCTTTTATTTCTTTGAGACTCAACAACCAACCTGGTAGGCTTCTGGCAACCCTTAAGGATCTGTGTGGTTTGTTTGATGATTTGGATAGTTTCTATCCAGACACGTCTCATTGGCTAGTATTTCCCACTCCAGCAAACCGGTGTAACTTGGAAAGGCAAGGAAGTGCTTTCCTGTCAAAGGGTCCTCACGCTCAACTGTCTTGTGAGTGGGGAGAGTGTCCGCTTGCAACTGTGAGGAGGCTGGTTCAAAGTTCCCAACAAAAGAGAAAGCCGGTGCACGCCTTTAATTCCAGCACTCAGGAAGCAGAGGCAGAGATCTCTGTGAGTTCAAGGCCAACCTGGTCTACAAGAGCTAGTTCCAGGACAGCCTCCAAAGCCACAGAGAAACCCTGTCTTGAAAATACAAAAACAAAACTAACAAAACACCAACGCACATTAAAACAAATAATCCAATATTGCATGGTCGGCGCCCCATGCTCAGAGCCATTGTGTAGTTAGAACTCAGCCCTACCACTAGACGTACTTTCCATCACCTGCTTCCCCTAACCTTTAACTTGGAACTTTCCTGTGTATTTGCGATTTAGGTCTGTCTCTTGAAAGCATATTTGACTTTAAAAATCTGACATAAAAATCCAGTTGCATTTAACTGGACACAGTTACAAGCTGGATGGTGGTGGCACACACCTGTAATCCATCATTTGGGAGGCAGAGGCAGAGGCCAGCTTGATTTACAAAGTGAGTTCCAGGACAGCCAGAGCTATTATTATACAGAGAAACCCTGTCTAGGAAAAAAAATGATACAATTACTGATGATATTTACGTTAAATTTATCATATTTAATATTTTCTGTTTTGTTCCACCTGTTTTGGTTTTTGTGCTTTTGATTTTGTTTTGTTGTTGTTGCTTGTTTGTTGGTTTATTTGTGGGTTTTGCTTGTTTGTTTTGGTTTTTCAATACAGGTTTCTCTGTGTAGCCCTGGCTGTCCTGGAACTCTGTAGACCAGGCTAGCCTCAGACTCAGAGATCCACCTGCCACTGCTTCCCAAATATTGGGATTAAAGGCGTGTACCACCATATCCAGCTGTTTTTAAATATTTATTTTTATTTTAAATTATGTGTTTGTGTGTATCTGTGTGCATGCAAGCACAGGAGCTTTTGGAGGCCAGAGGCATCTGATCCCCATGGAGCTGGGGCTGCAGACAGTTGTGAGTTACCTGATGTGGGTACTGGAAACTGAACTCAGGACAGCTGAAAGAGCAGTACCAATACGTACTCCCAACCACTGAAGCCATCTCTCCAGCCTTTTAAAAACAAACCCGTCAGCTGGGCGATGGTGGCGCATACCTTTAATCCCACCACTCAGGAGGTAGAGGCAGGCAGATCTATGTGAGTTCGAGACCAGCCTGGTCTACAGGAGCTAGTTCCAGGACGGCCTTCAAAGCCACAGAGAAACCCTGTCTCCAAAACCAAAAAAAAAAAAAACCAAACAATCATGTCTTGTTGTGTGCTTGAATTTCCAGTTCTGTTTCTTCAGCCTTCTAGAGCTTGGATTGCAGGTGTGTGCCCCATATTCCCCACCCCCACCCCAACCCCATCCCTGCCTTGTTCGTGGAAGGCAAGTGCTCTACCACTAGTCTGTACCCTCAGGCCTTGTATCTGTTTGTTTGTTTGTTTGGTTTGATTTTGAAACAGGGACTTGCTATATGGTATTGGCTTGTAGCATTGGTACTAGCCAGGCTAGCCTGGGGTTTGTGGCAGTCCTCCTGCCTCAGACTCCTGAATGCTGGAATTGCAGGTGAGTAGCACTATTCGTGGCTTCCACTGATGGCTTATGCACCCTTGGCTAGCCTTGAACTTACTGTGTAGCTAGGGATGACCCTGAATTCCTAATCACCCTGTGTCCATTTCCCATGTGTTGGACTTATAAATGTGTACCATCCATGTTTGGTTTATATTGTGCTAAGGATTAAATTTAGACCTTTGTGCATGCTAGGCAAGCACTCTATCAGTGAGCTATATTCCAAGCCCTCTCTGTCCCATGTATTTTGAATAAACTTTTCTTTTTTTTGAGACAGGGCCTCACTATGTAGCTCTGACTGGCTTTAAACTCAAAAGATATGCCTGCCTTTGCCTTCCAATTAATGAACTTTTTGTTTAGAATAGTTTTCATCTATTGATAAGTTTTAATGATGATGCAGAGTTATTTTATGTCCCTTCCATAAGTCCTCCAGTATTAACACTTTACATAATGTTTGTGCAATTCTGCAAGCTAAGAAATTAACACTGGCATAATACTCTGATACTGTGGAGTTTGAGTTTTTCCCTTCAAACTCACAAAGGTGTGCACCACCACACTATCACCGCCCAGCAAGTCTTGATACTTTTGAAGAGTCTGGGTCAGTTATTTTATAGACTGTCTCTTAACTTGAGTTTGTAATGTTTTTTTTCCTTTAATTGATTAATTTTTATTTTACGAATGTTGGTGTTTTTTCAACTGCATGTATGTCCTTGTGAGGGTGTCAGGTCTCCTGAAACTGAAGTTACAGAAAGTTGTGAGCTGCCATGTGGGTGCTGGGAATTGAACTTGGGTCCTCTAGAAAAGCTGCCAGTGCTCTTAACCAATAAGCCATTTCTCCAGCCCCTTGTGGTTTTCTTATGATTAGACTTGGGTTTAGGAGAGACACCACAGAGGGAGATACCCTTCTCCTGGCATCTTATGGAGAGTGTGCAATTACATAAATATGACTCATCTGTGGGGATATTAACTTAGATTCCTTGGTTAAGTTAATATTGTCCAAGTTTTTTTCCACTGTGAAGTTACTATTTTTTTTTTTTCCGTATTCTAGAGCAAGTTACTAGGTCCAGTTCATAATCAACTAGGAGTGAAAAGAAGTTTCTTCTATTTATTCAGTTGTTTATAGTGTGGACTCATGGGTATTTACCTTAGCTTTTCAGTTATGAACCTTATACCATTATTTATTTTACTACTCAGAATAGCTTCTGCCTCCTGCCTCCACTACCTTCTAACTTAATTGTCTACTGTAGCTACAATTTGAACTAAGGGCCTTGCTCATGCTAAGTAAGTACTCTACCATTGAGCTAGGTACCTACCTACCTACCTACCTACCTTTCTTCTCATGTGTGTGTGTGTGTGTGTGTGTGTGTGTGTGAGAGAGAGAGAGAGAGAGAGAGAGAGAGAGAGATGCTGTAGGTCACTTGTGAACTAATAGGTATTCTGCCACTGAGATTCACCCTTAGCCCTTGTGTGGATGTTTTGCCTGTAGGTATTTCTGTGCATCAGGAGCATGTCTAGTGTATGTAGAGGTCAGAAGAGGGCGTCAGATCTCCAGGAACTGGAGTTACAGATGGTTGTGAGCCATGTGAGTGCTGGGAATCAAACCTAGGTCCTCTGAAGGAGCAGCCAGTGCGGTGCTTCACCTCTGGAACTCCAAACCCTTGTTTTTTTAAATGCTACTAGCATATCATGTAGCCAGGCTGCCTTCAAGCTTAGACTCTTCCTTTCGTAGACTTTTGGGCTAGGTTACAGGCATATAACCCTATGCCTTGTTCAATTTTTCAAAAAATTTTTAACTATTTATTTTACTTTTGGGGGGAGGGGCAAGGTTTCACTATGTAGACTAGGCTGACCTTGAACACAGAGATCTACCTGAGTGGAGAAATTAAAGTTGTGTACCACCATACCTGGCACTATTTTAACCATTTCTAGGTGCTGATTTGGTAGCATTAAGTACATTTATAGTGTTGTGTGGCCTTCAGCACTGTTGTCTGAACTTTGCATCGTCTGGATGGAAGCACATTACCCATCAAATGATCCTTCTCCATGTCCTTTCCTCCGGTCCTGAGCCCCTCTGCTGCGCCTTCTGCCCCTAAGTCCCTACTCCAGGGAACCCCGGATAGGCAGAGTCTTTATTCTTTGCCCTTTTGTGTCTGATGTATTTCACTTAGCACAATAATTTTAACATCCATCTTATAGCATGTATCAGAATTTTATTTTTGTTGTGGCTAATATTTAATTGTGTGTATGAAAATACCATATTTTGTTTATCCACTCATTTGTTGATAGACAGGTATTTCCAGATTTTGACTGCTGTGAATAATGCTACTATGAACTGCTGTACAAGTTCCTGTCTGGGTCTCTGTTTCAATTCTTTAGAACATATACCTGGGAGCTGAAAGACTGGGACAGATGGAGAGTCTATATTTAGGTTTTTTGGGACCTAGAATACTATTTTCCACAACAGCTGCCTGCATCTCTTCTCTCTGTCTCTCTCTGTCTCTCTATTTCTCTCTCACATCTCTCTGTGTTACACAAGCTGATTTCAAACATCATTTTATTAGTGCTAGACATTGAACATATAGCCTGGTATGTACTAACCCTATGCTCTACCCCTGACCCCTGAGCTAAGTCTCTCTCTCTCTCTCATACACACACACACACACACACACACACACACACACACACACACACACAGTGTAGACAACCTTTGCTTCATAGTGAGATCTGTGTGTGTGTGTGTGTGTGTGTGTGTGTGTGTGTGTGTGGTTGTGTATGTGTGTTACTAGTGTTACTAGGATTCAAACCCAGGGCTTTTCACAAGTACTGTCCCAGACAGCCATACTCCTAATCCTTCTTTTTTCATGATAGATGTCCTGATAAGTACTGTGTGCATCACATTGATTTTTAGTTTATTTATTTTGTTTCTGTTTTTGTTTTTCAGTTGTGGCAAAATATATCAATCATAAAAATTACCATCTTAGCCAGGCGTTGGTGGTGCACACCTTTAATCACAGCACTGGGGAGGCAGAGGCAGGCCGATCTCTATGAGTTCGAGGCCAGCCTGGTCTACAGAGAGAGTTCCAGGACAACCTCCAATGTAATACAGAGAAACCCTGTCTCAAAACCCTCCCCTTCCCCAAAAAAATCTTAATTAGGGCTGGTGATGTGGTTCAGTAGTATAAAATGTTTGCCTGGCTTGCACAATGGCAGAGTTTCCATTTTAGGTAACACATGTGCACGTGTGCACTTACGCAGACACACACACACACACACACACACACACACACACACACACACCCTCAAGCTGGAGTGCTGACTACTCAAGAGGCTGAGATAGGAAGACCAGCCTGGGCTATATCAAAAGAATTTAAAATTTACATAATTCAGTGACATTAAGTATTCATATTTTATGTAACTGTCACTACTGTTTTTAAAGTGTTTTTATTTTCCCAAATTGAAATGCTATACTGCTTCAGTGGTAACTCCCAGTTGTCTATTGCTCCAAGGCCCAGGTAACTCTCATTCTCCAAGTACAGTTTGTCTTTTGTGACAGTTTTATTTCAGTTAACATAACGTCTTAAAGTTTCATTCATACTGATTAGAGTTTTTCTTCCTGCTAGGCTTTTACTGTGTAGCCCTTAGATGCTCCTTATCTTAGGGCTGGGAGATGCAGCACAGTAGAACTCAAGCCAGAACGAGGGAGCCATTAGGCTCAACCCTTAACAGCTGGGACAAAAACAAAAAAACAAAACAAAAAACAGAAATCTTCCTCGTTTCAGTTCCTAGTAGTCACATCTGCAAAATTCTTATTGCTATCTAAGATTATATGTTCACAGGTTAGGGATCAAGATAGACTTTTTTTGGAGGTGGGTGGTATTATTCTGCCTACCATTGTCTTTTTAGAGCTTTTATACATACTTGAGCCAGATTTTCTCAGAGTACCTTCTATGTCTTTATAACTTTTATAACTTTATAACTATAACTTTTCATGTTTGCCAACCTCAAACCCAGGGTTTCCCACATGGTAGACAAATGCCCTGTTACTGAACTACATCCCTGCCCTTAGCTTTTTAACTTTGGTTGGTTGGTTTTGTTGGTAGGTCTCTTGTAGGCCAGGCTGGCCTTATGTTCACTATGTCTTGAACTTCTGATCTTCCTGCCTTTGCTTCCCAAATGCCAGGGTTATATTTTTTGTGCCATCAAGGCTGGCTTGTTTGGTTTTGGTTTTGGTTTTGGTTTTGGTTTTGGTTTGAGTATAGGTTGTCCTCAAACTCACCATTGGGAGGCCCTTGCCTCTCAAATATCTAAGATACAGTGTGTGCCACCATACCTGGCTCCTTTTTTGTTATTGTTTTTGTTTATTTGTTTGAGGCAGGGTCTCACTATGTAGCCTTAGTTGGCTCAGAGTTCAATATGTAGACCAGGCTGGCTTCAAACTTAGAAGTCTGTCTGTGTCTGCCTCCCAGGTGCTAGCATTGAAGGCGGTCATCCTCATGCCTAGCTACCTATTTTTTTGAGATTGGCTATTTGGCTTTTGAGATAGCATAGAATTCACCATGTACCACAGACTGGCCTTAAATTCATGGCAATCCTCTTGTCTTGGTCCCCCATATGCTGGGATAACAGGCATGAGTGTGTCTAGATTGCTTTATTCTATTGAAGTTAACTATTCCACTGTACCGGATTAGCCTTAATTTTGTGTTGTATGTGGTCTTTGAATGTATTTGTAGTTTGATAGGGAATGGAATTCTGTATATGTTTATCTTATTGGTTGATGAATAAAACACTGTGGCCAAATAGGGCAGCAAGATAAGCGGGTCTAGGAGATGAGGATGAGTTTGGGAGGTGTAGGCAGAGAGCATTCACCATGTAGGACACCAGAGGAGTAACAGGTCTCTGGACTGTTCTCTGATAAGATAAAACCATGTAGAAATACTTAGATTAATAGAAATGGGTTAGTAATTAAGACAGAGCTAGCCAATAAGACAGAGCTAGCCCTAGACATTGGCCAACAGTATTATAATTAATATAAGTCTCTGAGTGTTCATTTGGGGCTGACGAAGTTGTGGGGCCAAGCTGTAGGGAAAGAGTTATCGTAACCGTTTTTTAAATATATTTATAGGAAAGATTTGGGCAAGGGAATTAGTATAACTTTTCTTCTTCTTCTTCTTCTTCTTCTTCTTCTTCTTCTTCTTCTTCTTCTTCTTCTTCTTCTTCTTTCTTCTTTTCCTAGACAGTGTTTCTCTGTATTGCTTTGGAGGCTGTCCTGGAGCTCTCTCTACAGACCAGGCTGCAAGGCTGGCCTCAAACTCACAGAGATCCACCTGCCTGTGCCTCTGGAGTGCTGGGATTAAAGGTGTGAGCCACCAATGCCTGGCTTAGTATCACTTTTCAAAGAGGAGTTTGTTTGTCTCTCATTCCTGGGATGAAGTCTGCCCCAGTCTTCTCTCTCTCTCTCTCTCTCTCTCTCTCTCTCTCTCTCTCTCTCTCTTTCTCTCTCTCTGCAATTCTCCTGCCTAGTGCTAGGATTGCAGGTAGGTGACACCTACAGGAGACTGTTTCAATTAACATTTAAGGCTTGGACCATACCAATAAATTATGTAAATCTAGGCTGTGTTTTGCTTTTACCACTACTTAAGAGTGTAGCCTTTAGAGTCCTAATTTAAAGTAGGGTATTCTCAGAAGCTCTGTCTCCTGAGAGACACTGAGCTTTGTCTGTCACCTATGCTCTGCAGCCCAACTTCCAAAGAATAGCCTTTAGTCAAGCCTTCAAACCCAAAACCACAGCCAGTTGCTAAGCACTGGTCAGTCCTTAAGGAAAGTCTGCCTGTAGTGACAGCCTCTCATTGCAGGCAGGCAGGTGTTGGGTTAAATGAGCAGCTAATATCAGTGGCCACGTGACCTGTATCCGCAACCATGCCAGGATTACTTGTCTTTTATTATTTTCCTTGTAGCCTAATCCAGTGGTTTGAGACAGCACCAAGTCGGACCTGCCCACAGTGTAGAATTCAGGTAAGGGTGATGGAGTGTGGGTGTCTCAGCTAAATACCTCTTCTTTCCCAAAAACAGGGGTGGGGAGAACATCTCTGAAATAGAAATACTCTGACCTTTTTGAACAACCTCTTGGTTTGGGGCCAGTTGATCTTCACACATGCCTGTAAGTTACTCTGAAGGCTTGCTTGGGCGTCTGGAAGATGGACTTTCCCATTCAGGCTTCACTTGTGTATATTTGGCCTCCTTTAATGTTTAATAAATGTCCCCATGCATAGAGTTGAAGGGTCTTTTAAGCACTCATAAATGTTGTGTGCAGTGCCATGACTTCACCCACCAGCAGACTGGGTACGTCAGGACTGCTGACTCAAAAGGATGTGTGCTGAAGAGTTAGGCCTGTGAGCAGACCTGGCTCACATGGCCACCAGTCAAACTCTCGCTCAACCTTTCTTCATCGCCTTTGACCTCATTCCACTGTTATTCTCTGTCTTGTTCTCTCATCTAGGTTGGCAAAAAAGCTATCATCAATAAGCTTTTCTTTGACCTTGCCCAGGAAGAGGAGGGTGTATTGGATGCAGAATTCTTAAAGGTACCCAGAATTTATCTAGTTCTACTTAACTTCCAAACCTTGTGGGAGTTCACTTTTCACTTCCACTTAGAGAAGGTGCCTAGAGTGTAGATGGAGCTAGGCCTGTGCAGCAGACACATGGTAGAGCTGTCAGGGTGGGGACAGTGGCTTTGAGACAGCCATCAGAGGTATGCACTGTAAGAGCAGAGGGGCCACATGAGGAGGAGATCTCCCCTTGGGCTTTCAGGGCAATTGGGCAGAGGGGTAGCATCACTAGTTCTCTGTCCGGCCTGCTTCAGTCTACCTCCCTCAGGTTCCAGGATGGCTCCGAGAGGCTGGGGTAGAAGTAAATCCAGCTCCCACTTGGGAGTCTAGAGAATTCAGTGTCCCTTCAGGAGATTCTGTAGCCACAGTCAGGAGAACAAAGGTTTTTACAGGCTACTTCCAGGCTTAGTCAAGAGTCCATTGTGGAAGAAGCCAGGTACTTTCCTGCAGACTACTACCCTTTGAAGGTTAACAGAAGACTCAGAATTTCATGTGAGCAATAGTAAGCCCCCCATTCCTAACTACCTGCCTCTCTGCCCAGGACTCCTGGGGGTAGGAGCTCCTATAGGCTGGGCTGGGCAGTGTAGACCGAATAACTGGGAATGGAAATGGTAGACAGGTAAGGCCATGCAGGGTCTGCCTGAGAAGAGACAGCGGCTGCTGCGCAGCTCCCCATAGTCTCCTAGCTCCCTCCACACCTCAGCAGGATGCCTTCGAAGTCCTTGCTCCAAACTATTCAAGATGCTGCCTCCCTGTCTCACAGACTTGGCTTTGAAAGCTGAAAAAACTTGAAGCTGCCTTTGTTGTCTTCATCACAGGGAGGACACCTCTTAAAACTAGGAGCAGTTACCATGACGATGAACAGGCTGGCTCCAAACACAAAAGCTCAACCATTTTGAAGAAGGAGGTTCCAAGGACATCACAACACCCAGGGGGCTAAGGTCAAATGAGTTGTAATCTGACAGATTCCCAGCAAATTAACCCTTAGTGTTCAGCAATCACTTGTAAAGCCCAACCCAATTTTCCTTAAAAGACTTTCTGCCAATCTAGCTCCCTCACACAAAACAGAGGGACATTTTAGATTTGGAGGGGAAACAGGAGAAGCATAGACGGCAACCTGGTTACCCTCTCCTGTGGTTTGGTTTTCCACCAGGGCTAGAAATCTTGATTCCATGTGCTTTGTCCTCTATGGCTAGTCTTGGAAAGGCCCAGGCATCTGCCTTGTTCTCCAGCCAGGTTAAGGAATGATGGATTCACACACCCTCCCTGACTAGTGAGAATGGAAGAATTTCCAAACATGTTACTGTCCCACCAGAAAGTGGGTTGAGCAGGAAGGCTCTAAGTCATTCATAAGGTGAGGGGCTACAGAATCTCCTGAAGGGACACTGAATTCTCTAGACTCCCAAGTGGGAGCTGGATTTACTTCTACCCCAGCCTCTCGGAGCCATCCTGGAACCTGAGGAAGGTAGACTGAAGCAGGCCGGACAGAGAACTAGTGATGGTTCAGAGTGCTTGGCCATCTCTGTTCTGTGTCCCTGGTGAGGCCACTGCAGGACCTCAGCCAGGAAGCCTCTGCTGCTGACTGACCGACCAGCAGGCCAAGCCTCACTTCCTGTGGGATTCATTTCCTTCATCTTATCTACGTTTCTAAAAGGCTCAGAAAGGGGCTGGAGAGATGGTTCAGGGTTTATGGGCACTGGCTGCTCTTGCAAATGACAGGGTTTGATTCCCAGCACCCACATGGTGGCTCACAACAGACTATAACTTGAGTTTCAGGGTATCTGACACCATCTTCTGGCCTCAGCAGGCAATGTGAATATATGGTGTACTGACATAAATGCAAGCCAAACACTGATACACATAAAATAAAAATAAATCTTTTTAAAGGGTTTATATATTTTATGTATATGAGTGCTGTGTCTGTACAAATGCCTGCAAGGCCAGAAGAGGGCACCAGATCTCATTATAGATGGTTGTGAACTACCATGTGATTGCAGGGAATTGAACTCAGGTCCTCTGGAAGAGCAGCCAGTGGCTAAGGCATCTCTTCAGCCCAGAAGTAAATAAATCTTTTTTTTTTCTTAAATGTCCCGTACTGCTGGGCATTGGTGGCACACACCTTTAATCTCAGCTCTCGGGAGGCAGAGGCAGACAGATCTATGTGAGTTCGAGGCCAGCCTGGTCTCCAGAGCAAGTGCCAGGATAGGCTCCAAAGCTACACAGAGAAACCTTGTCTCGAAAACCCCCCCCCCAAGAAAATGTCCCATACCAAGCTTGGTGATGCATATCTTTAGTCCCAGCACTTGGGAGGCAGAGACAGGTGGATTTCTGTGAGTTCAAGGCCAGCCTGATGTGTATATAGTGAGTTCCAGGACAGTCAGCTGCCTAGTGAGACTCTGTCTCAAAAACACAAACAAATACCCATAGACATAAAACAATGTGCATCTCTCTGCTTGGCCTTGAAATATATTGAGTCCATTCCTAGACCAATAGTCTTCATTGATCCTGGGGCTGGCTACAATGTGTTCCTGTGCTTATTGTGTGTATTGTCTTGCAGAATGAATTGGACAGTATCAGAGCCCAGCTTTCCCAGAAAGGTAAGTTAACAAGTGAAAGAGGCCCTAAAAATGGAGGAGGCCAAGGTGATAGCCTCCACCCTCTGGCAAGGCCAGGGGTTCTACCTCCTTTGTCTTGCTAGCTCTTATAACTAGCCAAAGAGCAGAGTAGAGGTGACTGAAGCTGTCTGCCTAGGCCAAGACAGCCTCTTTTCACTGTTTGGAACTTCTTGCCCAGGAGCAGTTTGAGGGGGGGGGTCCCACTTGATGAGTTTCTATCTTCAGGGCTCAGCTACTGAGTTTGACAGGGATTTGCTTGAGTTCTGTAACGATGGATTAACTAGACCCACAGGAGTAGGGAGCAGTGAGATCTACTTAAATAGTTCAAGCAGGAAAAAGGAGTGCTTGTCTCCTAAGTGAAAGCTTTAGATTAGTTTTCTTGATGCATGGCAGAGAGAAGCAGGCCACCCAGCTTTCTGGCCTGCTCTTTGTTCTTACCTGGCTCAGGGAGAAGGTGCTTGAGTTCAAGGGTCAAAGTTGTCATTGTATGGATGGGTCTTTGCCTTGCTCCCATCTGCCCCTGCTCCAGAGAGGGAGAAACGGGACAGCCAGACCATTATCGACACTCTACGGGACACACTAGAAGAACGCAATGCCACTGTGGAGTCCCTGCAGAACGCCTTAGACAAGACAGAGATGCTGTGTTCCACTCTTAAAGTAAGTTCTCAGAGTCAGTGGGGAGTTATAGCCACAGTCTTCTGCTTGGAACACAGTGATCCACCTGCCCCTGCCTCCCCAAGTGCAGAGACTAAAGGCGTGCACCACTATGCCCAGCCTAGGCTCACGGTTCTAACCGTGTCTTCTAGTTCTGCCTCAGCCAATACCTTTGTTTATAGTAGTAAGGTGAAGGCAAATCTCTTCTTCCCAGGGCCCTTCCATACCATACCCGTCAAGTCCATAAGAAAAGGGGTTATAATGGCTGTGCTTGTGGATTTTGTACCAGGTAACAAGGCCTCCCCAGTACTTCACAGAGGGCCTGCTCAACGGAGACTTGAGTAGGCTGGGCCATGTTTCTAAAAGTGGCTCCTACTCCACTGATGAGGCCAGTCTGAAGAATCTTCCATTAGGACTCCAGTCCTTGGCGGGGCTGCTCTCTGGAGCCAGATCAAACAGCATCCTAGGGAGGAGCAAAGGCCTTTGAAGTCCGCTGTGCCGAGCTGACCGAGCAGATCAAAGCTGTAGAGCAAGCAGGCTTAGACCCAGATGAATTTTGTATCAGCCTGGGTTCGTGAGCCTCCTGCTCTCAGAGGGCCATGAGGCGATTGATCTGAACTCACGATTGATATTCTAGTCTTGTAGGCAGGAGCAGCCCTTGCTGGGTGCCATTTGAAAGGGATAAGAGCCATCCTCATGAACAGACTAGGCCCTGGGATATGCATTTTCTGTTCCTGCTTGGAGACTGAGTGGCATCACATGGCCTACGCGGCAGGACAGAGCAGACTAGCACCAGGTTGCAGAACAGTCTGATGGCATTCCCAGGTCAGAGGTGGAGTGGTCTCACACTGAGGACAGCCCTTGGCTTGGCTTTCCTACCCTGATGCTTCTTGTCCATGTGTCTAGATGAGATATGTGTTTGTGCTCTTTGCTTCTTCAGCATGAGACCCCAGCCATAGAGCCTAGGCAGCCCACAGACCTGAGCCACTGAGCTGTGCCTATAGCATGGCTATCTCTGGAGGTGAGGATACAGCTGCCCTGAAGTCTCTTAGCAACAAAAGCATAGGCCAAGCGAGGGCTATAGTTCAAAGCCTGGGTTGGATTCCCAGCACTTCACAGGGATACAAACACACACACACAGAGAGACAGACAGACAGACAGAGAGGGAGAGAGAGAGGGAGAGAGAGAGAGAGAGAGAGAGAGAGAGAGAGAGAACAGATCAGCATGTGGGGCCCTCAGGGGTTTTATATCCTACAGTTTGGAGATACATGTTTATCAACATCTGCAAAAGATAGCCAAACATCGAGGTACACTCCTATAATCCCAGCAATTGGGAAGTGGAGGCAGAAAGATCAGGGGTTTATGGTCATTCTTGGCCACAAAGTGAGTTCATAGCCAACCTGGGGTGTGTGAGACCCTGTAAAAAACCAAAACCAGCTAGGTGGTGGTGGCACATGCCTTAATCTCAGCACTTGGGAGACAGAGGCAGGCAGATCTCTGAGTTCGAGGCCAGCCTGGTCTATAGATCTAGTTCCAGGTCAGCTAGGACTTTTACACAGAGAAACCCTGTCTTGAAAAAAACCAAACCAAACAAACAAAAGCTACAGTATGGGTAGCTCTCAGTGGCCATGGTTCCAAGAAGATGTATGGGTGTGCTTGGTCCTCAGAAGCAGATGAAGTTCCTGGAGCAGCAGCAGGATGAGACCAAGCAGGCTCAGGAGGAGGCCCGCCAACTCAAGAGCAAGATGAAGACCATGGAGCGGTGAGTTTGTAGCTAGTTTCTGTACTGTGATTTCACACCAGGGGCCCCTGAGAAAGGGAGTGTAATTCTCAGGACTGCAGCTGAAAATGGGGTTTGTTCACCTTTGACTCAGATGGCCAGATGCCTGTGGGCACAGATCTCCTTTCGTGTCCTCTATGGGTCCCTCTCCTTTTTGTACTCTTGTTGTACTGCATGTCCTGTTGCCTGTGGATAGATGGCTGCCATGCCTTTCCCTCCTGGAACCTCTCTCCATGAAGTCCCTGACCTTGAAGTCCTCTGTTAGCACCTCTTTTCCTCAGCAGCATCCCTGGAGCTGAGCTCAGCTCTGCTGTGGAACCTTTCCTTGGGCACACCCACCTGCTAAAGCATCCTAGCAGCCCAGGCTGTTGCCATAGCAACGGCAGCAAAGGGAGGCAGACTAACCATCAGCCTCCAGATTTCAAATGCCGTGGGCCGGGAATGTTTTTCAGAATTGAGCTCCTACTCCAGAGCCAGCGGTCTGAGGTGGAGGAGATGATCCGAGACATGGGTGTGGGACAGTCCGCGGTGGAGCAGCTGGCTGTGTACTGCGTGTCCCTCAAGAAGTATGTGAGCTCAGAAACTAGTCTGTGATTCCCAGTCATACCTCTGCTGCCATCTTCTGTAAAGCAGGGTGTGAAGGAGCAAGTTCTAGAACCATGTTGTCATCCGGTGAACTCCAGCTCTTAGGCCACTTTGGAGGCCTCTGTGGCTTCTGCTTTCTCGCATGGAGATAGAGACTTGCTTAGAATTGCTGAGAGAGCTGCGTATGGATTCCAAGTGTTGTTTCTACGGAGCTCATGCAGCTCTCCTCTGTGCGCCCCCTCAGGGGATCTGGAGTCTTATTTCCCATCAGCACTGTTACTGACTCTGTCTGGCTTTGATAAGAAACTGCTTATATTCTCCATTATGGTGATGGGACGTTGGGAGAAAGGAGCCATTTGACTGACAGGCACGGAGAATCCAAAATGCCTCCATTTGGGGTTATAGGGAGCCCCCTAGTGAGGCCAGAGCTCCTTGCATACTCTCTCAGGTCACAGTTCTGCAGGTGACAAGAGAGACCTCATTGCATCCTGTGCAGGACCTGCCATGGGGCCACCTGGAGGGAGAATGGGAAGGAGCTAAGGATCTGAGTGAGCTTAGCCTTTGTTAGCTTGGTGCTGTGGCATCAGGGTGTCCTGTTCTGTCATCTCTTCTCATGGTCCCTTTGCAGAGAGTATGAGAATCTGAAAGAAGCACGGAAGGCCTCAGGGGAGCTGGCTGACAAGTTAAAGAAGGACTTGGCCACCTCTAAGAGCAAGGTAACTGAATGGGAACAAAAGGGGAAGGAGACATGGCTCTTGGTTTGTTGTGGTCACCTGTGTCTCCTGAGCTAGGCCATCTAGCCTGTCACCAGTAGGCTAGTGTAGGTGGCCTACAGACACTAATTACTGGGTTTGCTGTGCATTCTCTCTCTCTCTTTGGCTTATGCACTTAGGGGCCAATTCATGGAGGTATGCCCCCACCACACACTTATGCTACCTTTTCCTCTTCTTGGTCCCTAGGCATATTTTAGCTGGCTTGGAGAGCACAGTCCTTGTGTGGCAGCTTCTGAGGCAGGCTGTGATTAACTTCTGTAGACTGCAATGTACAGAGAGAAAAGCCTTGCTCCCAGGCAGCCCTATGTATACATGCCTAGTTGAGCTTGTACCCAAAGGTCTGGGGTTTCCCTCATGCCTCCAGTTTCTTTTAGACTCTTCCCCAGCCATAGTGGGAATAAACTCTACCCCTGCTGAGTGGTAGCAGGGAGTGGGCAGGACATTGGCATCATTGGCTTGTCCTTTCTTACAGTTGAAGGCTGTCTACACTGAGCTGGATCAGGCCAAGTTGGAACTGAGGTCAACTCAGAAGGATTTACAGAGTGCTGACAAGGAAATCACGGTGAGACATCCTGGCCTGATGAGAAGCGGGGGTAAGGGGTTGTTTCTGTGCCTTCAAGAGTAGAGCTGGGCTGTTCTGCTTGGGAGCCTGTGTCCCAGTCATGGGTGGTGGTTCTGGGCGTTTTTTTATCCTCCTGGGTCAGGGAGGTGAGTCAGGGTATGTTCCTCATCACCTGAGCAAGGGCTTTACCAGAGAGGAGCTCTGAAAGCTGGCATTGGACACTCAGTCCTTGCTCTGTTCCCAGGACCCTCCACACAGGTGTTGTCCACAGTGCCTCCGCCTTCCTCTCATGTTCTTCTCTGTTTCCTCCAGAGCCTAAGAAAGAAGCTAAAGATGCTTCAGGAAACCTTGAACCTGCCTCCAGTGACCAGTGAGACCGTCAGCCGCCTGGTTTTTGAGAGGTTTGTTAGCTTTCTGGGGTGATACAGAGGTCACAAGCTAAGAGAGCCTTCACAAGTGAGAGAGCCTTCATGGCTGGCTTTGGTGGGATAGATGGTGTTTGTGGACCTTCTGGTCAGAAAGCAAGCCAGCAGCTTTGAGAAAATTTAGGATCTGACAAAGAAAGGCCAGAGAAGGCCTTTGAGTAGTCTGAAGATGGGACAGGGCCTTGGCTATCTTGGAGTATCCTAGAGTTTGTCACTGTATTTATCTTCCTGCCCCCATTTCTGAAACAAACTTGCAAGCACTCACTCTCAAATAACCCCCTCATAGCTGGACAGTGGTGGTGCACACCTTTAATCAAAGTAGAGGCAGAGAGATCTCTCTGAGTTCAAGGCCAGCCTGATTTACAAAGCAAGTTTCAGGACAGCCAGGGCTGTTACACAGAGAAACCCAGTCTCTGGGTTTCTAATAATAAACTAAATTAACTAACTAAATAAATAAATGAATAGATAAATAAATAAATAAATAAATAGCTAGCCAACCTACCTCCTCTGGTTCAGGAATGTGTACTTTAAGGTGGCCAGCAGAGGGCGCCAGAAGACCCAGGAATTGGTGTCCCTGCCAGGAATAAGTTAATCCTCTGAGTGTTTTTTACAGAATCAGGCTGGCTAAGAACATCCTCAAGGCTGTCTTCTGCCTGCTGCAGGACCCCAGCAAGGGGAGCCAAATTAGAAACTCCTGTCAATGGCCCAGAGTTTGTTTAAGCCACTTTTCAATATCTTTTGGCAAATCAATATGCCCTTCTTGCCCGTGAAATTCACACATTCGGTGCCTTCCAGCTCTCCACTTTGTTCCTGGACACTTGCCCCCTGACTTTTCACATCTCAGATCCTTGATACTGTATCTTGGGACATTTATGGAGCTGGTTTAGCCTTAGGTGGTTTCTCAGGATCCTGCAGTATCACAGCCAACCATAAGAGAACACTTCCAGCCAGCTCTTTGCTCACTGAAGGCCCTGTTGTCCTGGCCAGCACCCTCAGCCGGATAGCACTTGAAGAGTGTGTGTGTTGGGGGGGGGGGGCATAGGTCTACACTGGATGTCTCTGACCACTTTGCACACTATATGTGTACGTGGTTGTGCATGTCACAGAAGTCGGAGCACACATTTGTGGAGTCAGTTCTCTCCTCTCACCTTTCCATGGGTTGAAAGGATCTAGCTCAAGTTGCCAGACTTATGCAGCAAACAGCCTTACCCTTGAGCCATCTCATCAGCTATTATTCTTTTCCTCAGCATCTCTCTGTGGAGCCAAACTGCCCCACCTCTCCAGTTTAGGACTATGGTGGATGCATGACTTGCCATGACGTCCAGTATTGGGTTGATTTTTGACAACCGTGTAGGCTCTGTTCCTGATCCTTCCTCCCACCTCACCCAGCCATTAGCCATGCCTTCTCTGAAGTCCCATGTAGCATGAGGGCCTTGTCAACAGCCTAAACAGGTATAGTATGTGCCCTTGGGGAAATGGCAGTCTCAGAAAAACTTTGGAACCCAAGCTACCTCAAAGATGGGGATACAAAATCATTCTCTATACTGTCCACAGTCTCCCTCTAGCTTCTATTCTGTGAACCTCAGGGTCCTTCCACACAGTTGTTCCCTGGGCCTGTCATTTATAGGAAGGAAAAACAAGCACACAGAGACCTTGATTACCTGCTTTTACTAATCTTTTTTACTACTCAGGCTTCTCTGAGCCCCATACTCTTACGGGGGTGCCTGCTGCATGCCAGGCCCTCCCCATCCTCTTGAGCCTTTTCTTAGTAGGATAATTAGCTGGGGGTTTAGATGACTGTGCCCGAGTCTACCAGATAGGCACTGTGTTATAGAATCTGATCTAGAACTCCCAGAAGCCACTGAGTACTCAGTAAGCTTTGTGCCAGGACCTACCTCCTATCTTGTCACTGAGGGGACAGTTTTGGTCAAGTCAGGACACTAGAGCCAAACCTGTGTGTCCAAAGCCAAGCTGAGCTGCCCATCAGGTTGTATGCAGGATGACTGAATTCCTCTTTTTCTCCAATATTTTTCTTCTTCTTCTTCTTCTTCTTCTTCTTCTTCTTCTTCTTCTTCTTCTTCTTCTTCTTCTTCTTCTTCTTCTTCTTCTTCTTCTTCTTCTTCTTCTTCCTCCTCCTCCTCCTCCTCCTCCTCTTCCTCCTCCTCCTCTTCTTCTTCTTCTTCTTCTTCTTCTTTTTATTCTTCCTCTTCTTCGTTTTTTTGTTTTCAAGATGGGGTTTCTCTGTAGCTTTGGAGCCTGCCCTGGAACTCTGTAGACCAGGCTGGTCTTGAACTCACAGGGATCCGCCTGCCTCTGTCTTCCCAGTGCTGGGACCAAAGGCTTGTGCTACCCTCATCTGGCTCACCAATATTTTTCTAGGCATGAAAACTTGGGTAATAGGACTGTTGCATTTAACATTAGCTCTTATAGCTTGGTATAGTCTATCCTGAATTCCAGGCTATCTGTTTTAGGGCTCTGAGATCTCAAAAACAGCTCTTGACTCCTTGGGAACAGCCTTTTCAGTTTTTTTATGCCCTAATGGTTGACTCTCAGAACTAAAAGTGCCTCTGTCTTTCTCCCTTGGGAACTGACTTGTTGCTGTGTGGTTTGGGAAGAATCTTTTTTTTTTTTTTTTAACTTAGTATGCATACAGTATTCTGCCTGCATGTGTCCCTGCAGGCCACAAGAGGGCACCAGATCTCATCATGTGGTTGAGCCACCATGAGGGTGCTGGGAATTGAACTCAAGACCACGAGGAAGAAGTAGTGAGTGCTCTTAACCACTAAGACATCTCTCTAGCTTGGGAAGAATCTTGAGCTTTCTTAGTCTGTATGAAATGTACAGACACGTTCAGGAAACCACCATTTAAATCTGAAGGAAGGGAAATCCAGGCAGACAGGATGGAGAGTTCAAAGTCCCTGAGGCATTGATAAAATGGGCTTGGAGGAGAGAGGTGGGTGACAGTAAGCCAGATGGGTGCCTGCCTTCATAAGTCAACCTTGTAGGTGCAAATTTTATCCTAGGATCAATAAAAACTGTTGGAAATGTTTCTGGAAGATGCTCTGAGTGGCTGGTCCATGTCTCTGGCCCATCAGCTACTAATGATTCCTTGAACTGTGCCTTAGTTTTCAGACTTGCTTAATGCCTCGTAGCCTCCACCTTGTGAATTCTGCCTTCTCTGTCAGGCTCACATTCCCAGGCCATGCGCTCTCTCTCTCTCTCTCTCTCTCTCTCTCTCTCTCTCTCTCTCTCCCCTTTTCTCTTTCTCTCTCTTGCTCTGGGTATTCATTTGTTGTGGTGAGATTACCCTTTGCTTCTGTCATTTTATTTTAAAGATTTACTTACTTACACAGGTGCTTTGCATGTGTGTCTGCACACCAGAAGAGGATATCAGGATATCAGATCATGAGCTGCCATGTGGGTGCTGGGAATTGAACTCAGATCCTCTAGAAAAACAGCCAGTGCTCTTAACCACTGAGCTATCTTTCCAGCCCTTATTTTATTTTATTACTTTATCTTTTTGAGACAGAGTCCCATATCATATAGCTGAGGCTGGTCTCAAATGTACTATACAGCTGAGTATGACCTTGAACTCCTTATCTTCTTTGCTCTACATCCTGGAGCTGGAAACGTAAGCATGTACTACCACATCTGATTTATGTAGATCTGGGATTAAACCCAGGGCCTCATGCCTGCTAGGCTAGCTCTATACTGACAGGGCCATGTCCCCAGCCTGGCTTGTTATTTTAGGGCAACCTCAGGAGGTAGCCCTGCCATTAGCCTTGGCAGACCTGGCCTTGTAAGGTCTGAAGAGAACCTGGAGGAAGGCAGGGCAGCTCCAAGGGGCCCTCTCTTCCCTCAGGAGCTTTGCAAGGCTGCACCACAGTCATTTGTCTACTGGGAGCTGTGGAGGAGGATTAGGAAAACACCTCTCATGGGCCCTAAGGGCTCCTGACCTCTGGATGGGTGGGATCTGGGAGACTTTCATTTATGGTAGGAATTGTTGACAGCCTCTGTGCCACACAGCACAGTTGCCTAGGGCTTTGGCCCTGGCTTAGAAAGGAGGGCTTTGAATCTCTTGCCTCATTTCCTGAGGCCTCTGACATGAAGCTATGTAAGTTGGCCATAGGTGAGTGTCTCAGAGGTAATAAAATCTCTGAGTTCCTCAAGCCAGGCCTTCACTGTAGTGAGTGAAGGAGATCCTATAGAATCCTAGGCTCTCCCTCCTCATGTCATAGGAGAGATGCAAAAAAGTGGACCCCTGGGGCTGGTGAGATGGCTCAGAGGTTAAGAGCGCCGACTGTTCTTCCAGAGGTCCTGAGTTCGATTCCCAGCAACCACATGGTGGCTCACAACCATCCATTATGAGAGCTGGTGCCCTCTTCTGGTGTGCAGATATACATGGAAGCAGAATGATGTATACATAATAAATAAATAAAATCTTTAAGAAAGAAAGAAAGAAAGAAAGAAAGAAAGAAAGAAAGAGGACCCCTGTCAGAAAGAAGAAACAGACTTCTATTTGTAAAGGAAGAACATACCAGAAACAGTTTGAGAGAACAAGAAATAAGTCCTTTTGAGCTTCATGTTGGAATGAGAGAGACACTGTGCACCTCCTGAGTCTTGGGTTTAGTGGAGTAGGTAGTACATGAGCCAAGGCTGAGCGTGTGGCATGGGTACCACTGGGCAAGACCTGGGAGATGGTAGTAGGAAAACCTTGCCTAAGGTCTCAGGTAGTAAAATGGCTGCACCCTGCCAGACTGGGCCTGTCTCTCGAGTTTACCTTTCCTACCTTAGCCTAAACTTGCTGGAGTTGGTAAGCAATTACAGAAAAATACTGATGAAGGGAGGAAGAAATTTGGGTGTCCCAGAATGCTTACCCGGCCAGATTTGTAGGCAGCCCCCTTTCTTCTGGTCTGTACACCCAGTGTGCACAGGGCTGAGGTGTAGCTCCCAAGGGAAGTCCTTGTGGGAAGTGTCCTTAGAGCTGTCCCTGCCATTCCTTTCAGTTCTCCTCAGACTTTGAAAGCGGGAGAGTACTGCCAGGTCTGTCTGGCAAGGCTAGAAAAGTTGAGTTGGCTGCAGTTTTCTAAAACAGTGAGCACCACCTTCTCATTACAGAAGTAAAAAAGTGAAGAATTCGAAAACTATGGGCCTAATTGCAGAGGGAGTTAGACACATAGTGTATTTCCTTCAAGTCTTTTTCCTGCAAGGGGTATATAGAGAAGAGAATATACCAAATCATTGAGTGTACATAAGTATATTTTTTGTTTTGTTTTGTTCTATTTTTTGTGTAGCCCTGACTGTGCTGGAATTCACTGTGTAGACCAGGCTGGCCTCAAACTCACAGAGATCCACCTGCCTCTGTCTCAGAGGGCTGGGATTAGAAGTGTGTGTCTGGCTTGTACATGCATGTATTTTTATATTCTCTTTTTCTCTTTTAGGCAATCTTGATATATATAATCGAGATATATATACATAGGCTGGCCTCAAACTTATGTAGCTTAGGCTGGCTTTGAACTCATGATCTTTACTGGTCTCATAGATGTATGATATTACACTCAGGATTTATATTGCCTTTTAAATTGACCATATGAGTATTTTTCCATGTCCTAAAGTTACTCTTGAGAACAACATCTAGTGTCTTCATCATTGTCAATTCCTGAAGTACCAGATTACTGTTTGCTGTGATAAGTTGCAACATCCTTCCATCTATATCACTCTGTGTAACATGTCTGAATGACTTCTTTTTTGTTGTTTGTTTTTGTTTTTTGAGACAGGTTTCTCTGTGGCTTTGGAGGCTGTCCTGGAACTCACTCTGTAGACCAGGCTGGCCCAAAACTCACAGAGATCTGCCTGCCTCTGCCTCCCAAGTGCTGGGATTAAAGGCCTGTGCCACCAACGCCAGGCAAAAATTTCTTTTTCATTCTATTTATTTTAAGTATGTGTGCATGTATTACATGGCATGCATGTAGAGCTCAGAAGATAACTGTGGGAGTCAGTTCTTCCACCATGTGGGTCTTGGAGCTCAAACTCAGATCACCAGGCTTGGCCTTTACCCACCAATGGTCCCATGACTGTAAAGGCTGAAGCCACTTGGCTTATTCTGTAGATGTTAGGTCTCCCTCTGGGGTGACCCTGAGTCAGGTGGGCTTTAGGAACCCTTGGAGATAAGCTGTCTCTCTCCTTTTCTGTTTCTTCTTTTTAACATTTGTGTGTGTGTGTGTGTGTGTGTGTGTGTGTGTGTGTGCATGCATGTGTGTGCATGGATATGTTTTTGTGTGTGTGTGCATGCGTGTGTGTGCATGGATATGTTTTTGTGTGTGTGTGCATGGATATGTTTGTGTGTGTGTGTGTGTGTGTGTGTGTGTGTGTGTGTGTGTGCGTGCACGCGCGCATGGATATGTTTGTGTGTGCATGCGTGTGTGTGCATGGATATGTTTGTGTGTGTGCGTGTGTGCGTGTGTGTGTGTGTGTGTGTGTGTGTGTGCATGGATATGTTTGTGTGTGTGTGTGCATGCGTGTGTGTGCATGGATATATGTGTATGTGTGTGCATGCGTGTGTGTGCATGGATATGTTTTCAGTGCAGGTGAACCACAGCATGCACATGGTATCAGAAGATAACTAGAGGGATTCATTTTTCTTCTTCCACCATGTGGGTTCTGAGGATTGAACTCAGGGCTTCAGGCTTAGAAACAATAGTCTTTACCAGCTGAGCCATCTCACTGGGCCAAGTTGAGTTGCCTCTGATACTTGAGCAATCCCAGTTAACACAATTATCTCTACCTTCAGCCCAGCCCCAGTGGAGATGCTGCACCCCAGGCTCCACCGGCCATCCATCAGTGATGAGATTGACCTCAATGCTACCTTTGATGTAGTTACCCCTCCAGCCCAGCCCTCCAGCTCCCAGCATGGCCACCCCAAGAAGCTCTCCCTGGAGAGGGCACGGTAAGTGTTGGCCTCTGGTGGTGCCCAGAACCTGGTAGGGAGTAGCTACCGTCTGTAGGTCCTGCTCTGAGGGCTCTGAGTGGTCGATGAGGCTGCTCAGTAGGATGCAGCTTTGGTTCAAGCTACTTCTTCCTCGATTCCTGGCGGAGTCCTGAGCGTTAGACTCTGAATTTTTCCCTGTGTGTGCCTCTCAGGTTCATGCTTAATGCAGGACCATCTCAAAGCATAGATCCCATGACCCTACCATCCAGGGAAATATCCTATGTTGGCAAACACAAGGAGCTGTGTGAAGCTGTGAGGGGATGGGGCATTTGCTCTAGACATGCAGAGGGACTAGGAGGGTGAAAGCTATCTCCTTGGCCAAGCACACTGTGTGTCACTGTGAAGATGACTGTGCTCCTTCATGTACGGAGGGCTGTGCTACTCCGGTAAGGGAATTCCTTTTATATTTTTTAAAATTACATTTGTTTATTTATTTTTGGGTATATGTGTGGTATGCATGTGGAGATCAGAGGACAGTTTTTTCGGGTTGGTTCTCTCCTTGCACTATGAGAGGACTGAGGATCAAAGTCAGCTCGATAGGCTTGATGGCAAGCAGTCTTATCTGCTGAGCCATCTCTCTGGTCCTAAGGAAATCTTAATGCAACACTTGGAATATATGAGAAAGAAATTGTTATGTTAGGCAATACCGTGAAAGAGAATGAGAGGGCAAGCCAACTGGGCTTAACACTCAGTTTGTTCAGGGCCAGGTCTGGTAGCAATGAGAAGCCTGAGTCATATGGATTGCAGCCGAGAGCTTATCAGTGTCAGCGCCTTACCCTGGCTCCCTTCTATTGCTTCCTCTTCTGCTGTCAAAACTGAAGGTACAGGTTGGGGATATAGTTCAGTGATGGTGTTTGCCTCCCATGTAGAAGGCCCCGGATTCAACCCTAGTTCTGCAAAGAAGGAAGGAAGGAGGAAACAGAGGAAAGAAACAATGATCGTAGACACATGGGGTCTTTGGGTTATAGACACTTCCACCATCTTCGGGGAGTGTGAGGCTCAAAGGAGCACAGAACACCCCTAACTTGGCTTAGCCTCACCAGAGCCAGACTTGTAATAGTGGAGAATCTTTCTGTGGGCTCACTACAGGTCAGGGAAATTAGCAGAGGAACCCAGAGTCAGCAGGCCCTGTTCCTACCACTTTCTTAGGGCTTGAGAAGCCACCGGGCTAACCTTAGGCCATCATCCTCTCTCTCAACTGGAAAACTACCAAGAGAGGGTATTTAGCTGCTAGGGTCTCAGAAATTATTTGAATAGTGTCCATCTCTGGCACTAAGAATAGAAAGCCACACCCCGACTTGTGTTCTCTTCTGCCACAGGCTTCCTGCAAAGGTCCTACAGAGGCTCTGGAGCACTGTGCAGGCTGCCTTGTGAGTCTTACTGAGAGGCTGACTTACTGAGGGTTTTCTAGAGGTAGTGCCTCCAATCCCCAAACAGACAGGATGGGCCTGCGCTCACTTGATAGCTTCTCCTTTCGGAGGGTGTGAGTGCCCGTCCTCCTGTGCAGAGTAAGCCAGTTGGCTCCTTAGCACTGGGTAGAGACTAGGATATGGTGAGAGCATTGAAATGAAACCACAGACTGATATGTGGCTCAGTCTTCCCTGACTCTGGCAGAGACTGCTCAGCCATGCCACACAGTGTTCCTTTAAAGGATGTGCGCAAGTCTGGCCCTCCTCTTGCTTACTTGCCTCTTGTCTTCATCTCACTCTTACAGCTCTCCTGTGCAGGACGTTCTCAAGAAGATCCCTAAAGTCTCCAAGCAGGTAAGGCCCAGGCGTTCCTCAAAAACAGACAAGCAGTCACATCTCTCCCTTGCCAGACTGACATAGAAACTTTACTTCTAAACTGGGTGTAGTAGCTCATGCCTATAATTCAGCATTCAGGAAGCTAAGACAGGAGGATCACCTTGAGTTTGATGCCTGTCTGGTCTTCATAGTGAGTTCTGGGACATCCTGGACTATAGCGAGACCATCTCAAAACAAAATAAAACAAAGAAAAAGAAATTCTATTTCTGAGGGTGTAAACTATGTTCAGGTTCCCTTAGCCCAGGACTAGGACTCTTTAGCGCCATCCTCATAACCCTAACTTGTTGTTCTCTGCCTCATGTCTGAGGCATCAAATAGCCTGGTCTTTCTTGTTTTGTTTTGGTTTTGGTTTTTTTGAGACAGGGTTTCTCTGTGTAGCTCTGGCTGTCCTGGAACTCACCCTGTAGTCTAGGCTGGCCTTGAACTCAAAAGATCCGCCTGCCTCTGCCTCCCAAGTGCTGGAATTAAAGGTGTGAGCCACCACTGCCCAGCCAGATATCCTGATAGCCAGATCTCTCTCACTGCCACTGTCCCATGTCCTGTGCTCATCAAGTCTGACTCTGCACTTCCCCAATAGGAGCCCCAGCTCTCACTGGGTGGCCAGCGCTGTATAGGAGAGCCAGACGAGGAACTGGCTGGTGCCTTCCCCCTCTTCATCCGGAATGCAATTCGGGGTCAGAAACAGCCCAACAGGACCACAGCAGACTCCCGTTGCAGCACAGATGTGGTGAGTGTGCCTGGCCTCCTGGGTGGAACAAGGCAGACAGCTCCCTAGCCCATTCTCCTAATCCACTTGTTTCTTCCTTCTGCCCTAGGTAAGAATAGGCTTTGATGGTCTTGGAGGACGAACAAAGTTCATCCAGCCTGTATCCTTTTCTATGGCCATGGCCTGAGCTGAGCTGAGCTGAGCTGAGCTGAGCTGAGCTGAGGGGCATACACTGTGCCCTGACCTGTATCCCCAGGGTCTGAGATTTTCCTGCCCTGCATTCCAGTCCCCTCTCCAAGCTTCTTCCTTGACATTGCTTTCAGACAGACACAGCCATTTTCCGACCAATGCCTGTTAAGCCCAAGGCCAAGAGTAAGCAGAAAGTGAGAATAAAGACTGTGAATTCTTCCTCCCAGCCCAAGATGGATACCTTCCTGTTGCAGTGAGCAAATGACAGAGTCGTGTCTCCAATTAGTAGTCCAAGACCTTTGCCAACCCAGGAGTGTTTGGGGAGATGGCTCCTCTTCCTGGAAAGTGCGAGAGTGAGAGCAGAAACTGCACTTCCTGAGTTCTCTTTGCCCTGCCCCCACTGGATCTACCTCAGGGAGCTGACATGACCAGTTTATAGTTCCAGTCAGCAGGGCCTGCTTCTAGTTGAAGGTTTTTGCATAGAGCTACAACCAGATATGGCTGGGCTCCTTCTGATTTTATAGACCAGGGTCACATTTGACTCTACATGGATGAAAGTTCTGGAGGTTTCTTAAGCAGGCTAGCCTGAACTTGTGCCTGCCTCCAGCTCACTGTTTGAAGTAGTAGATGGTAAGGAAATGATGGGGGAAGGTTTCCGTGGAAAATAAAAAGGCATCTTTTCTTCCTGGCTCTGGACGTATAAATTTGTACCGGGACTTTAGAAAATTAAATGGGTTTCTGAAACAGGAGTGCCATCGAGACTTTGACCTGGTAGTTTTCTCTCCAGGCGTGACATTCTCACGGGGCACAGGAAGACCCCAGCAAGAATGGTGTCCCTGCAGTCTAAACGATAAGCCAAGTGAGTGGTGAACTGAGTTCTCATTCATGCAGGGAACCCAGCAAGCACAACTAACAACCAGTGACCAAGCTGTTAGCTTTTAGGTCTTGGCTTCAGGGCACTTTCTCCTAGAGAATTTCCCTTCTGGCCACTCACCTGGGTAAGACTTCCTGCACTTCTTTCTCCCATTGTTAGACAGGAGTTCTCCTGTTTCCCTAGCACATCACCTGCTTCCTGCTGAAGGCACCCAGCCACTTGCTAGGAAACCTAGAGGAGCCTGAAGCTATTGCTGATGGAGATGATAGCCGTGGTCATGTGATGCTTAGCTTTGTCAACTGGACACGATCTAGAATCACTTGGTGAGGACCTCTCAGTGAGGTCTAGATGAGGTCGGCCCGTGGGTGTGTCTGTGGAGGGTTACCTTGGTTATGTTAACTGACGTGGGAAGACAAGCCTACTGGAAGTTGGCACCATTCCCCAGGCGCAAAGGATCCTGAACTGTTAAAGAGCAGAGAAAGTGCTGGGTGGTGGTGGCATGCACCTTTAATCCCAACACTGGGGAGGCAGAAGCAGGCAGATCTGTGGTTCGAGGCCACCCTGGTCTACAGAGCGAGTTCCAGCACAGCTAGAGCTATATACCAAAAAACTCTGTCTCGAAAAACAAAAACAAAAACAAAAAACAAACTAAATAAATAAAGCAGAGAAAATGAGCCGAGCACAAGAATGGATGTGCTCTCTCTGGGCTTAGCTGAGTGTGACCAGCTGCTCTGCCTTGACTTCCCTGCAATGACGGACTGTAACCTGAAACTGTGAGCTAAAATAAAAACTTTCTCCCCTCAGATACTGCTTTTGTTGATATTTTATCACAGCGACAGAAAAGTAACTCAGTTATAGATGTTAAGCCCATTTGGGGATGACATGAGCTAAAGAGGGTTAGTGAGAGGAATTGCACCATCTGGCTGCTGGCACATGTTGAGTGGTCTTAAGCTAATTATTCTCTCGGTGTTATCTGTACAATGGAGGCAATAGTACCAACCACCCAGTGGTGGGAGTCTAGTACGTCAGGCTATAGGTTAAGAACTCACGATATGTAAATGAATAAGTGAGGTAGACAGATACTGTGTGGTTCTAATTACAGCAGATGACAAGCCCAGGGTTCAAGCTCCAGCATCAAGCCATATACAGTGGTGTGCACTTGTGCTAACATTACTTTAGAGATGGAAGTTCTTGTCAATACATAATGAGTTCCAGGTCAGCCTGGATTACATGAGACTCTATCCCCAAAACAAAAACAAGCAACAACAAAAATTAAACAAACAAAACAGCCAGGTGTGTAGCTCAGTTGGTAGAATGGTTGCCTTGCCCATTAGTACGTGTAATGGTGCATGCCTGTCACCGCAACCCTTAGGAGAGGTAAAGACAGGATTAGAAACACAAGGTCATCCTTGACGATATCAAACTTGAAGCCAGCCTGGACTAAATGAAACCCTGTCCTCATAAAAAAAAGTGCTGGGGGGAGGCTGGAGATATGGCTCAGTGGTTAAGAGTACTTGCTCCTCTTCCAGAGGACCCGGGTTCAATTCCCAGAACCCACATGGCAGCTCACAGCTGTCTGTAACTCAAGTTCCAGGGGATCCAACAGCCTTTTATGGCTTCCACAGGTACAAAGTATACATGTGGTTTACACACATGCAGGCAAAACAATCATACACAAAAAACAAAACAAACAAAAAAAAAAAACAATAGGGCCCAAAGAGGTGGCTCAGTGAGTTACTTGTTGCCAAGCCTGATGACCTGAGTTCAATCCCAAGTACCTAAGTGGGAGAAGGAACAAACTGACATCACAAGTTGTCCTATGACCTCCACTTGCTTTCTATAATCATTAAAAACAACAACAAGGCTGGGAGTGGGCAGATCTCTGAGTTCAGCCTGGTCTACACAGCAAGTTCCAGGTCAGAGCCAGAGCTACAGAGAGAGACTGTTTTCCAAAAAAGAAAAAAGTCAACATCACAATAAAATAGTAGCAAGTCAGTTGTGATAGCTAGCCACTTTTCTTGCTAGAATTGAGGCTCACTCCTCAGAAGGGAATTCATGTCTGACACTATAAACCTGGTCAAAAGCCACCTCATGGGTGAGCTGCAGGTGTTATTTTGTAAAATATGTACACTGCATCCGTAGTTATGTTAATGACCATATACATCAGGGCTACTGTCAGCTTTGGTCAGTGAAGCTTTTCTTAGATTTATTTATTTTACATATATATGAGTTCGTTTTGTGCATGTAGGCCTTCATACCAGAATTGGGTATCAGATATCATTATAGATGGCTGTGAGAGCCACCATGTGCATGCTGGGAATTGAACTCAGGACCTTTGGAAGAGCAGCCCCTGCTCTTAACAGCTGAGCCATCTCTCCGGCCTCAGAGAAGCTTCTTTTTTTAGTGGACAGTGGTAACTGCAGAGACTCCTACCTGGTCAAAGTGTGGAGAATAAGTGACTGTCAAACATTCAGCCCAAACAGAGACATCTGTATCAGCCCCATCCTAGGCTCAGGAAACGGGATGCAGTGCTAGAGCTCGAGGATGGAGTCTGCAGCACTGCCTTCCAGCCGTGACATGGCTGTTGTCTCTTGAACTCATAACAGCTGTGACCTGCACAAGACCTGTACATTTGGGCCTGGGAGCATTCTGTCATGGAGGGGTCAGCGAGGCCCCGCCCCCCCAGGAGGGGAAGACAGTTTAGTTCTGTAGCCACTGGTAAGGTACCCAAATAACCTCTCGCCCACCCTCCTGTTAGCAATCCTGTGAAACTCACCAAGTGACAAAAGCAAGAGACATGAAAGTTGAAGGGGGAGGGGGCATGGGAGGCTAAAGGGCTGACTATGATCAAAATACATACACACATTTATGAAAATGCCATAATGAAGCACATTGTTATGTGTAATTAATACATGCTGATAGAAAAACACAGGCAGTACACATCAACTTCCTGTGTTATTTTCACAATTTATTGTGAACCTGTAATTATTTCAAAACAAAAGTTTGAAAACCTATATGGAGGCCGGGCATTGGTGGCACACACCTTTAATCCCAGCACTCGGGAGGCAGAGGCAGGTGGATCTCTGTGAGTTCGAGGCCAGCCTGGTCTACAGAGCGAGTGCCAGGATAGGCTCCAAAGCTACACAGAGAAACCCTGTCTCGAAAAACCAAAAAGAAAAAAAAAAAAAAGAAAGAAAAGAAAACCTATACAGATGTAGGTCTTCCTTTTGTAGCTGCCCTGTGCTCCCCACTCTCCAATCTGACTCTTGTAATACTGGGACTTAAGCCAGGAGATAAACCCCTACTGGCCTGTAGAGGGAGGGCAGGCATCTGAAGCCAATTCAGAATCCAGTTTCACTTTTGTTTTCCTAAAATTAGAGGAGCCAGGAAAGGAACTTTGACAAGCAGCAACTGGCGCTTTGGTTCCTGTTTGCATCAGTTACAAGCTCTGTTGTGCGCCCCCCAAAAGCTGTGAGCATTTCCGCCTCCTTATCCAGCCCCAGGACTGAGGATGGATGAGGAGCTATACTCCAGGCAACTGTGAGTCTCAAGGTGGGATACAAAGTCGGGTGGCCTCCAGACCTTTGGTCTCCAGCTGCCTGCCCTCTGACTTCTTGACCACAGGTATGTGCTGGGCTTGCCTGCCATGCAGAGGATCCAGAGAGCCAGAGTCTTGCTGTCTGGTCTTCGGGGCCTAGGAGCTGAGGTTGCCAAGAACCTGGTCCTTATGGGTGTGGGCAGCCTCACCCTACATGATCCCCATCCCACCTGCTGGGCTGACCTGGCTGCTCAGGTGAGAGTTTTTAGGGTCTCTATGCTCCCTCCCAGCGCAGGGCTGAAGGGGAGTCTCTTTGATCAAGCTACTATTCTGTCCTTAGTTTTTCCTCTCAGAGGAAAGCTTGGGAAGGAGCAGGGCTGAGGCCTCTCAAGCACCACTGGCTCAGCTCAATGAAGCTGTCCAGATCTCCGTCCATACAGGTGACATCACTGAGGACCTGCTACTGGCTTTCCAGGTACTACCCAAGGCCCATCTGCATGCCAGCCTAGATCCTCCCTCCTGCCCTTAACAGCAAAGGTGGCAAGTGATTCTGGTGTCCATGTAGGTGGTGGTGCTGACTAACTCCAAGCTGGAAGAGCAGCTGAAGGTGGGAACCTTCTGCCATAAGCATGGAATCTATTTTCTGGTGGCTGAAACCCCGGGCCTTGTCGGGTGAGGAGACTACCTATATACCCCACTACATCACTGCCAGCAATTGGCCCCAATGCTTTTATTTATTTTGTATACAGTGTTCTGTCTGCATGTATCCCTGCACGCCAGAAGACAGAGCCAGATCTCATTACAGATGGCTGTGAGCCACCATGTGGGTTCTGGGATTGAACTCAGGACCTCTGGAAGAGCAGTCACTGCTCCTAACCACTGAGCCATCTCTCCAGGCCCAGCTTTTCCCTGTTCTAAGCTTGTTGTTGCAGTTTAAGAAAGCAGTGTGCAAGAGAAAGATGCCATATGACACCATTCAACGGGGTTCAAACAGAGGGGTTTTTTGTTTTTAATTAAGGAAAGGGATCATAAAAGGGGGAAAGGGAAGAGGGTGGACTGGCCTCCAGAGACAGGAGCAGCAGGAGAGAGCAGAAAGGAAAGGGGGAGAGAGAAAAGGGGGAGAGAGTGAGGGAGAGGGGGCAGACAGAGAGGAAGAGAAAGAAAGAGAGGAGGATGGGAGGTGGGCAGGGCCCGTTTAAAAGGGAACATAGTGAATGTGCACAGGTGGTGCTCTTAGTGGCTGCAGCTGAGGGCGTATCCTGTCAGAACCCCAAGGACAGGCCAGTGCAGATGCCTGAATACTAACACTTGTTCCTATCACCCTCTACCCTGCCTCAAGCCTAGCAAGGGATGGTCTTAATTCTGGACCACAATCCCATCCTCAGTGTCCAGACCCGTTCTAGTACAATTTATGTGCCCCAATCTTAATTTCCATCTTTTCCGGGATTCCTTTCCCTCTGGGCCTGTCCTAGTGGCCCCTGCCATTACTCACAACTGGTGAGCCCTCCCAGTAACTTTTGCCAACCATGCTAGGCGGGTGTTCTGTGACTTTGGTGAGGACTTCACTGTTGCGGACCCTACAGAGGTAGAACCCATGACAGCTGCCATCCAGGACATCTCCCAGGTGGGTGCTGATATCCAAGAAAGGTGGCAGGTCTGTGGAAAGCAGGTGTGGGTACTCTGAAGTCAAACCACCTCTCACCCAGGGATTGCCTGGCATTGTTACTCTGAGAGGAGACACCAAAAGACACTCCTTCCGTGACGGGGACTTGGTGATTTTCTCAGGCATTGAAGGCATGGTTGAGCTCAACAATTGTTCTCCCCAGCCTGTCCATGTACAGAGTAAGCCAACCCTACTCCAACCCCTGACTTAGTGCTATGCAGAAACTGCTTATTTCTAGGGGTCATAACTTACTTGGCTGGATATCTTCCAGAAGATGGGTCCTTGGAGATTGGAGACACAAGCGCTTTCTCCCGTTACTTGCGTGGTGGGGTCATTACTGAAGTCAAGAGACCCAAGACTGTGAGGCATGTGAGTGAAAGCCCAGCTGAGGTGGGAGCACCTGGTCACATCAAGGATGCATAGTGTCCCAGACCTCATCCTGAGCCAGACAACTCTGACCCCTACAGAAGTCCCTGGACACAGCCCTGCTTCAGCCCCATGTGGTGGTCCAGAGTACTCAGGAAGCACAACGCGCTCACTGCCTACATCAGGCCTTCCTTGCCCTGCACAAGTTCCAGCAACTTCATGGCCGGCTACCCAAG